AAGTTATATACCAAGCCTACTATGAACGAGCGCCTGTAAGTGAGCCTAGAATGGCCAAGATATAGAGTCTAGTATGGCTGAGCGCCTATGAGCGAGCCTACTCCGGCAGAGCAATTATACGTACCGAGCCTTATAGAGGTGGAACTATTTTACTTACTGTATTGAGAGAGTTAAGTTCGTATCAGAATGTAAGCATATCTTCATATTATCTTTGACTTCCAGTTACTTTCAATTATTATATTATCAGTTCAGTCTCAGTTTTCAGTTATTCTATTGTTTTACATACTCGGTACATTATTTCGTACTGACGTCTCTTTTGTCACGGATACTGCATTTCATGCCTGTAGGTCCTGATAGACGGCTAGATAGACCTTCCCATCAGATAGAGTCAAACATCAACTTGGTTGGTAAGCTCCAATCCCTCGGAGTTACCAGGTCCAAACATTGGAGTCTATTTTTTATACACATTTGATGGGTAGGTCAAGGCCCTATCCCGACCATGATACAGTTTAGTCATCTCTAGAGGCATATAGACGAGTCCTGTATATTTTATATATTAGTAGATGTTCATGGTGGCTTTATCGGTCTGCACGATTATATATGTCAGCTTTTGGATATGTTTACCCCTCAGATGAGAGATATGTTATTTTCAGATGATTTAGAATATGATCTCATTGGCCTATGTTTAGGGTTACCACTCCAGAGTTCACAGTTACAGAGTGGTACACTCGGGCAGAGTATGCGCCGGGTGCCAGTCACACCTCTTTAGGTTTGGGGTGTGACAGAATTAGTGTATCTTGACTCAACGTATATTTAGTTGTAAACTTTTGACGAATACTCCAGATTAGATTGTAACCCATTTAATTTTGTCTCACTCAAGCTTGACTCACCTGATCATTTGCCACCTCTATACCATCACTATACACATTTGTCTTAAGTTTATTTTATTTTTCCTCTACCAGAAATTACAACTAAATTAGTTTTTATTTCAAAAAATATGATTTCAATTTTAGAAGTATATAGTTATACTAATAAATTTATACACATCGTCAAAATATAGAATTGAAGGCGATATTAGGAGCTGTTAGAATTCAGAGAGGATTTGGAAAATTTTCTGTGTATTTCTGTATATGTAATCACTGTACAATGCTGTCTATTTATACAAGTTTGTCTAGTAAGAAAAATGTAAAAGAAAATACAAATATCTATACAGCTGTATGTATTTGATTTTTTCTAAATTTAACGAACTAACTAAATTTGATTCTCTCATACGTGCCATATTTTTTACCCATGTGAGAAGCTTCTAGAGGGAATAATTTGGCACAGCTGTGATGATCATTAATTGAATGGCCAGGATTTAATGCACCATGTGCACTACTTGAACGATCAGGATTTAATACCGTATTTGTGCTTTTATGTGCTGAAATGAAGCCACGTGTCTGCTCCTTTAGTTTTAGATCTAGGTCTCGTTTCTTAGTTTTGTCCGAAACTTTTGTCTTTCCCCTTTCTTCTTCAAGCTCAGACCTTTCTCTCTTCAATTCCTTCTTCAATTCTTCCTGAGAGATGAGTGAAAGTGATGATTGATTTCCAACATCCCCCCTCAAGTTGGAGAGGAACGAGGAGACACCCAACTTGCCAAGAATCAAGCGGTGAGAAGGCCTAGATAAGGGATTTGTGAACAAATCGGCAAGCTGCGATTTTGAAGGCACAAAAGAAATACAGATAAGGCCAGAAAGAAATTGTTGCCTAACGAAGTGACAATCTAACTCAACGTGTTTCATTCGTTCATGAAACACAAGGTTCCGAGCTATATGTATAGCAGCTTGACTATCGGAGAAGAGGGAACCAAAATAAGGGGTGGAATGGACAGATCTTCCAGAAGGCGGGTGAGCCAAGTCAATTCTGCGACAAGGCGTCTCATGGATCTATACTCAGCTGTAGATGAAAGGGAAATTGATGCTTGTTTCTTGGATTTCCATGAAATAAGAGACCCATCCATGTTGATGAAGAACCTACTGACAGAACGACGAGTGTCGCGGCAAGACGCCCAATCGGCATTACAAAAAGCCATGAGTGAAAAGGAGGGTGTCGCATTCAAAAATATGCCTTGTGCTGGGTTTGATCGAATATATCAAAGGACATGTAAAACTGTCGTGAAGTGATCAAGACAAGGCCTTTGCATATACTGGCTAAGAGTCAAAACAGCGAAGGAAAGGTCTGGCTTGTATGAGTGAGGTAATTAAGTTTCCCAACAAGACGACGATAAGCAATAACATCAGCTAAGGGAAATCCAGAATCTGCAGTCAATTTGGTAGAAGCATCGAGATGAGAGGAAATAACTGGCATATCAGAACAATCAAACTTATTGAGTAAGTCCATAGTAAACTTTCTTTGTGTGATAATTGGTCCCTCATTCTCTCGTAATATTTCCAAACCCAGAAAGTAATGAAGTGGCCAAGATCTTTAATCTTAAATTCAAAATGTAGAAATGCCTTGAGTTCTGTCAATTCGGTAGGATAGTTGCCTATAATGAGAATGTCATCGACATAAACTGCAATAATTGAAATGAAATCCCCTGATTTCTTAAAAAACAAAGAATAATTATTAAGAGAAAAAGAAAAGCCTTTGAAACTCAATGCCCCGACAAGTCTAGCATACCATTGTCGAGAGGCTTGTTTAAGACCATAGAGAGACTTCTTTAGGCGACAAACATGATTAGGACTAGGAGGAGACAAACCTGCAGGAAATTTCATATAAACTTCCTCTTGTAAATCCCCATGAATAAAGGCATTACTTACATCAAATTGAGAAATATCCCAACCTTTCTTTACTGCAATAGAGAGCAAACATCTGATTGTAGTCATCTTAACAATGGGGGAGAAACTTTTGGTATAGTCAATCCCCTCTCGTTGGGTATCACTTCTGATAACCAAACGAGCTTTTAGTTATTCAATACTACCATCAGCTCGATGTTTGACCTTGTACACCTATTTACAAGGTAATGCGTTCTTCCCATAGGGTAAAAGAACTACATCCCAAGTTTGATTAGTTTCTAAAGCCTCTATTTCTGAATTCATGGCATGTTTCCACCCTGAATGTAGACAAGCTTGGGAATAGCTGGTAGGTTCAGTGATAGGCAAAACATGTTTAAGAATAGCTTGATTCTGAGAAGTAAGGGTAGAGAAGGAAAGGGCAGGAGGGAAAGAGGGTGTAGTGAGGCAAGAGGCAGTGAAGTCAGTAACATAAATATTGTTGCAAACAAAATCTTTTAGGTAACCAGGTTGGACTCCTTTGTTGCTTCTATCTGATCTTCTAAGTGGAACTATAGATGGTGATGAGGAAATAGGAGAAATGTCAGTATGAAATAAAGGAGGTGAAAGGGATTGGCTTTGTGTAGGAGCTGGGGTTTGGGGAAAAGTAGGTGAAGAACTGATAGGTGAAGGTATAAAAGAGGTTGTAGGTGAAGGCAAAGAAACAGTAGGATTCTCAGAAGGTGAAGGACCATATATAGGAGGGAAGAGAGATGTGGAAATAGTGTTGGAAGCAAATGGAAAGATGTGTTCATGAAAATGAACATCTCTTGACACAAAAACTGTCTTAGAATCCAAATCCAGCACTTTATATCCTTTTTGTCCACTAGGATATCCTAAAAAGACACAAGCCTTGACTCTAGGCTCAAATTTACCTCTGTTGTGTGATAAGGTAGCTGCATAACATAGACAACCAAAACATCTTAAAAAAATGATAAGAGGGTTGGTTACCATATAGTAATTCACAGGGAGTTTTGCCATGAAGAACCTTAGAAGGAAATCTGTTTATCAAGAATATAGCTGTCAATATGCACTCTCCCCAATAGATAATAGGAACCTTAGATTGAAACAATAAATCCCTTGCTATCTTCAACAAATGTTAGTGTTTCTTCTCAACAATGCCATTCTGTTGAGGGGTGGCAACACATGAAGTTTGATGCGAAATTCCTTGTATTCTAAGGAAAAGAGAAGTTGTTGTTCCCTTGCCTAACTCCAAGGCATTGTCTGATCTAATGACCTTTACTTTAACATTGAATTGCCTCTCCACCATGCTTAAAAAATGTTTCAAAATGCAAAAAACATTCCCCTTGGTGCTCAATAAAAATGTCCAAGTACTCATACTAAAATCATCTACAATTGTGAGAAAGTACTTGTAACCATTGTAAGTAGGAACCTTGTAGGGTCTCCAAGTGTCAACATAAATGAGATCAAAGATGTGCTTAGATTCAACATGACTGACAGGAAAAGGTAATTTAGATTGCCTAGCTAAAGGACAAATATCACAAGCACAAATTGAATTGGACAAAGGTGAAATAGAACTGATGTATTTCATTGCAGTAAAAGGCAGATGCCCCAACCTAACATACCATAATTTTACATCAGAATCTGTTCTTATTGTCAAAGAAGCTGAAACTGAAACTAAACTAGGATAACATTTTTTGAAAGTAAAGCAACATTTAAAGAAAACTAATTCATAGGTTGAGTACTAGCAGGCTCCAATAGATAAAGACCTCCCTTAGCTTCACCAAAAACTTAAGGGCTATTCATGAGAGGGCCCTGCATAATACACCCAAAAGAAGTGAATGCTAAGATATATCTGAAAACCTTACAAAGGTTATGAACAGAGAGCAGATTGTATCTGAAAGAGGGAACATGTAACACATTATATAATGTAAGACCTGGAAACAGAGTTACCTTCCCTGTGTGAGTGACTCTTACCTTAGAAGAATTAGGTAACTTGACAATCAAAGGGAAAACTAAAGGTAATAAAGATAAAAATGAGGCAAGATTAAAACACATGTGTTCAAATGCTTCTGAATCTATGATCCACGAGCTGGAAGTGGAATTTTCAACTGAGTAAGTGGAATTAGAGTTAGTGAAAAATATACCAGAATCATAGTTGGTATTGATCTCAGAAGAATTTGACTGCCCCACTTGAATCTGATTGAGAAGGCTAACCAATTGTGTGAACTAATTTGAGGATAGTTTTTGAGCAAATTGTGGTCCTTCAATGGAATTATTCTGTATTGTTTCTGATTCATCAGTTGTATTAGCAGCATTGCTTCTTATAAGCCCCTGAAACTTCTTGGATTTGGCGAATTTGAAATCAGAGGGGAAACCTACAAGCCTATAACAATTCTGAATGGTATGGTTGGTCATCTTACAATAGGAACACATCTGATTGTTCTTCTTTCCTTTGTAGTTTGGATTTCCTTTGTTGTTATCAACTTTTGGCTGGGAGTTGGATTGAGTAAATGTTGCTTGTTTTCCTGCCATGAAAAGAGATCCATCTCCAGGGAATTGAGAAGGTGAATGCACCTCTCTCTGATTCTCATGCTGCATTAGCAGGGAATAAGCATGATTGACTGTTGGCAAAGGGTTGATCATGAGTATGTTACTCCTTGCTTGTGTGTAAGTCTCATTCAATCCCATAAAGAATTGAATGAGTCTTTCATCATCCTTGAATTGAATCATTTTCTGTTTTCCTCCACAGTTGCAGTTGCAAGAGCAGTGAACATTAGTGTTTAGTGTGTCAAGCTCATCCCATAAACACTTCAACTTAGTAAAATATCCTGCAATGTCATCTGAACCCTGCACTGAATCAACTAATTCCTTTTGCAGGTGATACAACTTAGCACTATCTGGTTGTCCAAATCTGTGTTCTAGATCAGTCCAAAGATCCTTTGATGTTTTGGAGTACAAAACACTGTTAACAATGTTCTTTGTGAGTGAGTTCAATAGCCAAGATGTAACCATATCGTTACATCTATTCCAGGTTTTCAAATCTGGAGAATTAGGAGCTGGGGTAGGACAAGATCCATCAATGAAGCCCAACTTGTTTTTGGCAGAAAGAGTGATGAGGATGGATCTGCTCTACCCTGCATATCCACATCCATCAAATGGAGTGTTTACAAGTACCATTCCTGGTGCATCACATGCATGAAGGAAATAAGGATGAGTTGGATCAATTACTGTTCCATTTCCTCTTATTGGAGTTGTTATTGTAGGAACAGGAACCTCAGGAACAGATGGAGGTGACATGATAAAGTGGAATGAGAATGAAGAACAATGATTAAAGAAAAATCAAAGAAATTAGAGCTCTGATACCATGTTAGAATTCAGAGAAGATTTGGAGAATTTTCTTTACATTTTTGTGTATGTAATCACTGTACAATACTGTCTATTTATACAAGTTTGTCTAGTAAGAATAATGTAAAAGAAAATACAAATATCTATATAACTGTATGTATTTGATTTGTTCTAAATTTAACAAACTAGCTAACTTTTATTCTCTCATACGTGCCATATTTTTTACCCATGTGAGAAGCTTCTAGAGGGAATAATTTGACACATCTTTGATGATCATTAATTGAATGGCCAGGATTTAATGCACCATGTGCACTACTTGAACGATCAGGATTTAATACCATATTTGTGCTTTTATATGTACTGAGATGAAGCCACGTGTCTGCTCCTTTAGTTTTAGATCTAGGTCTGGTTTCTTAGTTTTGTCCGAAAATTTTGTCTTTCCCTCCTCTTCTTCAAGCTCAGAGCTTTCTCTCTTCAATTCCTTCTTCGATTCTTCCTGAGAGATAAGTGAAAGTGACAATTGATTTCCAACAGGAGCACCCTGAATATTTTAAGTTTTTGAATTCGTCTCTATGTATATGGCATTGTGACTTTAAAAAGAAACAAGTCAAGTATCATGTTGCGATATATGTCACAAGAATTCGAGCCAGCTAGGTAATTACCAAGTTTATGTAAACTTAAAAAAAGAGAACCTAAAAAAATAAAAACCTCCATAGGTTCATGCATATAATGTGTGTGTGTCTGATTTCTTAGATCAATTAAAATAGAACGTGCCATTTGTTGTCAAGCACTCACGGTCGTATATATTTTGTCAGAATTTCCATGCCCAACAAAGGAGGAGTATTCATTTTTGTTTGTAGATGAACAAGCTGAGTAGTTATGGTCAGTACCCGTGAATTTCCTATATAAGATGCTTCTGTCTTTTAATAAGAAAGAGAATTGAAGGAGAAGGACAACATAATAAATGATCTTCTGGTAAAATTTCTTAAGTCCGTGTCATCTGTAATTTTCTATTTTTACTTCGTGAGGTGCTGACATTTTGTAATTGAAAAATTAAACTTCCTTATAAATGAGGTTTATCTTTTGTGTTTTAATGCATATAAAAGAGTTTAACTCCTATATATTGACATTTGACAATGTAGAAGTTCTTTAAGCTATTAGCAGTGGCGTAGCCACCCTGTGCCAAGGGTGGTCAAACACACACTATTTGTCGAAAAATTTACTGTATGTGTAAGTAAAATACTACTTTATATGGCTATATATTATATTTTACATAGTTGAGCGAGGCAATCTAGCGGTTCAGGGTGTTCAAAGTGGCGTTTTGTTCCTAGGTTCAAAGTTCTGCCCATTTTGTTTGTCAAAACTAAACGGAAATCACCATGTGTGGTCTATTTGATTCTTTTCTAATATAAAAAAATTTCTAATAAAATAACTCTTAAAACTTAAATTTGTGTAGAAATAAACAACTAATCCTAAAAGTCATTTTTTTTTAACTAAAAGTTATTTCTTAAATAAATTTTATAATTTAAAAGTCAAGTTCTACAAAAATTTCTGCAACAAATCTCTTTACAAACTACAAATCTTCTCGACTCTCTCTTTTCTTTGATATGCTTATTTTTCTGAGTAAATTTTTTAATGTTGTCTTTTTGTTATTTTAATTTTGACTTATAAGTATAGCTCTGCAAAAAAAAAAAAAAAAAAA